CCCGCAGCTCCGAGTGGGGTCACAGACAGGACACCAGGTTCCATTCCTTTCCATTCCTTCTAGGCTCTGCTCTCCAGAAGTTACAATAACGAGATGTTAGATATTCCATCGCTTCTATTTTATCACTTTTTCTTCAGCTAAGAGGTCACAAGAAAACATATAACTGTGTGGTCAAATCTACCTCTGATACTTTTATTTAAATTCTGTATATTCTAAGTCTTCCAGGTCTATTTACTAACACAAGAGAAAAATAATTCCTTTAAAAAAAAATAGATTCCCGTTAGTGGTTTCCAGGGGACAGGGGTGGGGGGAGTGATTACTCACAGAGCATGGGCTTGGTGTTGGGGCGGTGACAACTTTCTGGAATTAGATAGCAGCGATGGTTGCACAACCTGGAGAATTACTAAAAGTCATTGAACTATGCACTTTAAAATGTTTAAAATGGTGTTTTATGTTATGTTTTATCTCAATAAAAAAATAGTTTCCAATTTCGCCCCCAAGATTAGACGAGGTATTCTGATATACAATATAAACCTGCAGAATTTTAATGGTACTATTGCAAAGTTACAAGTATTTGTGTGCAAAGAGCCTCTGGCTAGATCCCTAGTTGGTCTGAGACAGTGAACAGGCCCCGGGGAAGACAGGCCTGAAACACACCAGCACCTGGCAGTTCATGGGCGCTGCCAAGCGCCGCACGGAAAAACGCTCAGCGCCATGTGGGGACCAAGAGCTGCGGCGTGCAGGCTGAAGTCCCGTCTCAGCAGCTTCTGACTCCCAGGACCGAAAACCAACCATCTCCACTGTGACCCATCTTCTAACGATGCAAGTGCAGAACGCCACAGGAAAAGCGGGTATTTTCCTTCCCCGGCAATGTCAGTCATGCATCACACAATCTCTGTTGCCTTGGGAATCGTACTTGAGTTTCCTGGACTTCAAATTAAAAAACAACTCTCAAATGTGAAAATCTAATGCATTCTGCCCCCATTTAACAAAAGCCTGTTGCTTTTTCTGAGAACTATCTCCCTACTCCAAGCCAATCCTATGAAAAGCTGTCCTTGAGTTCAGTGCTTTTCTGTCCTTAAGGACAAATAGCTTCAGGTTGTCCTAGAACACAGGAAATAAATCTGCTCTGTGACAAGCACTTTAACTGCATTAGGTTCCTTTAATCAGAACGTAGTAACCCCCTGAAGTTTTACTGAACACTCCAGTTCCCCCAGAGAGTGAAAAACTGACTTGAAGCCCTGAGAATAAAGCCAGAGGCAAAACACACCCTATTCCCACGAGGCCCTCCCAACTGTGACCCAGCGAAGAGCACCCTGGTGCCAGGAGCGGAGAGGAGCAGGGAGCAGAGCACTCGGCCTCGGGGATAGGAAACTGAGCACAGTGAAGAGCAGACTCCCACAGGCCAAGGTGTCAGAGCCAAACGCCAGGAAGCAGCGAAGGCAGCTACAAGTCAGCAGCTCCAGAGTTTTCTTTTGTGACATTACTCCTGACTCTGTTTCCAAGTTACAGAAGAAATTCGAAAACTGTGTTTCATCCTTTATTCAGCAAACGAGACGAAATTTGTTTGTCCCAGGTCACATCACCGGAAGCAGAGCTGGATACGTGCCCAGTCCACCTTTTCCCTAATGCCCCTGCCTGTCGCCCCTTGAACAGCGCAGGGGTTAGGGAGCACCAAACCCCGCCGCTGTGCAGCTAAAAATCCACGTAGAGCTACAGTCCACTAGGTGTCCATGAGAACTGGTTCTAGGACTCTCCGCAGACACCAAAACCCAAAGATGCTCAAGTCCCTGATATAAAACAGAGATCAATGCTGAGTCAGCCCTCCCCATCTTTCCCAACAGCAGATCGGAAACACTGTCTTTGACCTGCAGTTGGTTGAACCTACAGATGGGAACCCCGCAGATTTGGAGGGCTGCCTGCTCACTGAGAAGAATGTACAGATGAGTGGGCCTGCAGCTTACAGGTCAGCTGTACACCTGTCCTAATACGTTGTCCTGGTCCCTCTGACTGCGATGGTCTCGACCATCTAGTCCCTTTGTACAAGGTTATTGCTATTCTCACCTGCTGCTGCCCACCATGGGGAGAGGAGACAGGAATAAGAATCTGGAGATGAAGGATGTCAGTGCGAACACTGATTGAGCTCCCTTCCCACATATTTTCAGACGTACCAGGGGCTGTCCCAATGGATGGCACTGAATCCTCTTCAAGTCACCCTCTGACGGCCCCGGCCTCATGCAGAGGCACAGACATGCAGACTAAATGACTGTTTAACACGTAACACTTTTTGCTTCTACAGTTCTGAAACACCAAACACGTTTTGGAAGCCTACGGCTGGAGTCACCATGTGGCCGGAGATGCCCAGCGCTTTGCCTTCCCGCGTCAGGGGGGACAGGAACGCCAACCAAGGGCTGTCCTCTGCCCGGCGCACTTGGGCAATACAGGATGACAGCAAAACTAGCGGTGATCCTGCTCCCAGGCACCATGCGGCTAATCTAACAACATCCAGGCACCCGGTCCAAGAGCAGGGGACATAGGACCTTCAGAGAAAAGCAGGTAGAGACCCTCCAATTCTGCAGTTTCAGAGAAATCGCTGCCCAGTCCGATGGACACCAGCTTTGGGCCAGGGAGGTGGCTGCCAGCGTTAACCTGCATTTTCCAAACTCCATCAAAACCAGAGACTCTCCTCACGCACCCCCTCCCTCCGCCCTTTACATATTTTAACGCCGTCTAATGGAATAGCAGGAACAAGGCCAATCAGCCCCACTGCTCCGGGCACTTGGGCCAAGAAACAGAAATGTATTTTTAGTCAGCCCAGCAAGGCGTGATGCACAGGCCCAGGAGGGAGAGGGAGGGTCCTGCCGGTCTCTGGCCTGAGGCGGTTCAGAGTCACCTGCCACCACACTCCTGTGTCCAGTGCATGGGGGCACAACAGGCATTTGAGGGCACTCTCAGTTCCACCACTCAGTTGTGCAACTTTCAGGAACTCAGGAAGCCTCAGTTTCTTGTTAGTAACACAAAGGAGTTCCCTGTGGCCCTGGTTTCCCACCAAGTCAGAAGCAAGGGGAGCTTCTGACCTTGAATGAGTGGGCAAATGACCAGGGACTTTGTCAAAGTGGCTTCTGACCCTGTAGGGCTGGGATGAAGCCTGAGGCTCTGGGTTTCGAAGAAGCTTGGCCCTCATGACACTGTTGGTCCAGAAACTATATATATATATATATATATATATATATATATATATATATATATATATATATATATATATTTTTTTTTTTTTTTTTTTTTTTTTTTTTTTTTAAGAGAGAGAAGCACAGGGAGAGAGAAACACTGATGTGAGAAACATTAATCAGCTGCCTCCTGCATAGCCCCTACTGGGGATCAAGCCCATAACCCCGGCATGTGCCCTAACCCAAATCAAACCAGTGACCTTTTAGTACATGGAATGATGCTCAACCATCAGGTCCCTTTGTACTGGCACATTCCCAGTGTGCTGGCTACAGTCATCAGCAGGCTGCCTGCTGTCCCCCACTTGACAACAGCTAATTCCTTCCTTTCTGTTGGTTTCAGGGTCTGGGTGCTTTCTTTTCTTAAGCCAGAAAGGGGAGCTGAACCACGTTCCCATGTGCGTATCAGCCAGGGAGAGAAACCATACTTTAAGCAGCATCTTTCACTGCTCTGCTCTATGAACAAAAGAGCCACAGGTATGAGAAACTCACTTAATTTCAGCCAGCAATTAAATGCCTTCCAGACTCTGGGCACACAGGCTAAATGGGACAAAAAGAGAAGTCAGACTTCTGTCAGGGGCAAAGAGCCACAGCCTTGATTCCAGCCCTTTCCAGGAACAGGACTTGCCCACACATCCTGTGGCCCAAAGGTGAGTTCCTGCCAGACACAGGGCCAAGTGACAACTAGCCACCAGGCTGAAGCAGCCGCTGCCATCTGTCAAACCCACTATGTGTTGTTCACAATGCCAGGTGTTCTCCTGCGCCTCATGCGCCCGGTGTATAAGACAGATCAAGGACACATTCTGTAAACGAGGTTCAGAGAGGTGACGTTGTCCTCTGAGGACACAGAGCTGGGGCAAAGCTCTAACCCTTTCCACAACCTCAGGGTCTTGAAAGAGTTAAGCCCAAGGCGGTGTTACGCAAGGACGGGGCACCTCCTGAACACAGGGCCGGCCGCCAGCAGAAGCCAGGGATGTGCATGCTACACCCGCATCGCACGACGGTGCCTTCCTGCCAAGTCCCTGCTCAATCTGCCGCGCCTCGGTGTCAACACACATACAGGTGAGCAAACAAGTTACAACACCAGCAGAATCAAAATCAAATAAAAACATGCAGAGCTGGAGGGAAACAGGAAATGCATCCTGCAGAGCAATTCTGCAGTGCTCTGCTGCAGAACCTGCCTGTGACCTGGGGGAGAAAGTTGTTGGGTCACGTGGGGTTTGTCTGGGAAGATTTCCCCTGGCTGCTGAAGGGGAGCAGAGGTCTCAGCTGCTCCAACGGCAGCCCCAGGGCCTCCTTCCTTTCCTGTGCTGACTACAGTCATCAGCAGGCTGCCTGCTGTCCCCCACTTGACAACAGCTAATTCCTTACTTTTCTGTTGGTTTCAGGGTCTGGGTGCTTTCTTTTCTTAAGCCAGAAAGGGGAGCTGAATCACGTTCCCAGTGCACTGCACCAAGATGAGTTGTGGTGTGATTCACAGAGCTTCCTCTAAGCAGTACTCACCCAACTGTGGCTTCACCTCGAGGACCAAAAAGTTTCATTCCATGTACCTCTGGGCATTAAAGAGACTAATTTCTCCCCAAATTAGAGATGAGGTAAAACTTGGGTTTTAATTCTTATAAATTCCCAAATAGCAAGCAGGGCATTTGTCATGATCATTAGGGCTCCAAGGAGAAAAGCTGTTCTTTGCCAGAAAATACAGTTTCCCACCACCAAGTGTCAGCTAGCTTAACACCACAGCCTTACCACCCAGCCAGCCCCCAATGCACCACTTACAGGAAGAGAGACACGACGTGCGGTGAAGCAGCACCAAGAGACGGTATGACTGTCAGCTCGTTGTTATTTAGATACCTGTAACAACACACACAAAAACAATCACTTATATTGTTCAAATTAGTAGTTTCAAATCATACACTAACAAGGGAAATCAGAAAACAGTGCTCAGTTAGCCATGGAAATTCTTATTAGATTAAAAATTTTAAAGTGAGTTCTTAGAGGGAGAGAAGTCCGTGAGGTCACAAATACTACCTATCACGTCCATGGTTTAGAAGCAACACTCAGGGGGTGTCTCTTGTGTTCCAGGAGCTGCCAATCTAACTCAAAAATCAAGACCAGCAGAAAGGAATAGTGACTTGGGCCAGGTGCATGGTGCAGACAAGGTGCCCACGACCACCAGGGACCGAGTTCCTTGCTGACTGGGACAGTCAGAGAGGATCTAAGAAGGAAAGAGCACCCCCTCTTGGATGTTTTCACAGATCTGTGACACTGTTGTCCGTGAACTGCTGCTTTGCCCTCACCAGAGGGTAACATGCTGAAACCCAGAGCCAGAGACACACACGTGTGAAATTGGCAGTGGCTTGGACATGAGCATGATTCTGATGCCTCCTCTGTGCAATAATGAGGGGGTTGGGCTTGGAGACTCTCATCTAGTTACGATCCCAGCTTCTGTGAACTATGATGAAGCCTCCAAGTACATTCCCAGGAGTACTTACACACAGATACATTTCCCAGGAGTACTTACACATAGACACATTTCCCAGGAGAATGTACACACTGACACATCTGTGCATGCGGACATTCCCAGGAGTACTTACACACAGACACATTTCCCAGGAGTATGTACACACTGACACATCTCAGGAGTACTTACACATAGACACATTTCCCAGGCGTACTTACACATAGACACATTTCCCAGGAGTACTTACACATAGACACATTTCCCAGGAGTGAGTACTTACACATAGACACACTTCCTAGGAGTATGTACACACAGACACATTTGTGCACACATTTCCCAGAAGTACATTCATAAAGACACATTTCCCAGGAGTACATACACAAAATGCACAACTGTGCACATGGACATTTCCCAGGAGTACATACATAGACACATATGTGCATGCAGACATTTTGAAAATTCTCCACAGACCAGAGCTGCTCTCTTCCCAGCCTCCCTTTTCTGCTGGAACATCTAAATCTGTATTTCCAGAGTTCACATCTTTCAATGGAAGGGGAAGTCTGCAAACCAAAACACAGCTCACCCAGCCTGCCCCCAGAGGCTGCAATCTGGCCTCCTTACATGGACATGTATTTCCAAATCTGGGAAGAGAATCCAAAATCACACTTGTGAAGTGAGCCCAAAATCCTTGAGAAAGCCAAAGCCCAGTGGTCAGGCTTTCTGCCAGTGACAGGCTGAAAAGAAATTGTATCTGAGATGCAGAATCAAGGGGGGTAAAGCTGGGTTATCTTAGTCTCATTTTTTTAAGGTAGTTTGTCCTATATTATAGTCCATCTTGTCACTGTTTGAAGACAAGGCCACTAAAAGCCAGCTGTAGTTAGACAAGTATACAACTAGCATTTGCTTGAATGGAATAATCTGACTGCGTGCCATCTTGTATAGAAATGAATAGAAGAAGAAGAAGAAAAAAGGAAGAAAAGGGCCTTGAACTATCCTATTAGCTTTCTTCAGTGCCAAAGCCAGTTAGAGTGGAAGCCTGGCAATTACTGGGCCATAGGACACAACATGTCTGTTTTAATAGCTTCACGATTGAAGCATCTGGGTGGGAGAGAAAAAGCAGATCCGTATCGTGTGGCAAATCCTTTCTCCAGTTAAAGGGCCCTTGTCTGTGTGCTGAAGTGGACAATCCATCACTTTAACAGTTTCTTATCTGACTCCCCTAAATCAGATGGTTTCTGCTTCACCTTTCTCTCCTCCAGCCCTGCAGTGATCCATTTCATATCTTGGTATAAGGATACTGAATAGTCTCCATCTTCTGAATCTACTAATAAATGTTATAGTACCATCAATGCACTTATTACTAAAGGAGACCCTCAGATCTTGTCAGAGCAACCCTGCTTAAGAACTCTTCACTTCTTAGAGATTTATTCTAAGACACAGATGATAATAGCAATTTAATAGCAGCAGCCAACTTATTGAGGGCTTTACCATGTGCCAGACATAGCTCTGAGAGCTCGCCAATGTATTAACTCCTCTTTAGACCCCTAATGGGTAGTTCCCAGGGACTTTTTTATTGTTCCAATGAGGATACTGAAACACTGAGACATTAAATAATTTGAGGATGGGCATGAGCAGTAAGTGCCAGTGGCCCTGAGAATCTAACCCTGAACTCTAGATTCCTAACCATCACCCTCTATTTCTTTATAACTTTAGAGCAACCACTCAATATGCATCAGGTTAACTTCATCATCACAACCCTGAGTGAGGTACCAGGTTCTATTACTAATCCTGCCTCATAGGCAAGTTCTCCAGCTCGGGTTTCAGTTCAAGTCACTACCCCAGGGTCATAGACAGGAGCTGAACCCAAGTGCAATTTCAAATCGGAGGAGACCAGTTTGACTTCCCTGCAGGGGAACTTCTGCTGACCGAGCCTGTCTCAGGCAGCCTCCTGCACACAATCAGCTGCTCCACCCAAGTTCACAGAGTAAGTGAACAAGGAAAAGGGACATCATGATAAAAATTTGAGTCTTGACAAAACTGCTGGAAGCCGAGTGCACAGGTGCAGTACTAAAGATAAACAGGGCATCTGCGTGGGGGGGGGGGGGGGGGGGGGTAAGGGGAACAGCGCAGAGCCAACAGGCGGAGCAGGACTCCCAGCTCTCATCTACAAGGCTGCCTGATTTAGAAGGACAGGTGGCGGCCAGCTTCCTTCTCGATCACGTCTCTGAAAAAGAACCTCTAGCTAAATGTACGTCTGTTAGCTCCACAGTAGGGCTTTCTTTGTCCGCCCTGTTCCCTGTTGAAACAAGAATACTATCCACAGAAGGCAGCGGAGGCCAAACTGGCTCTGTGACATGACCCGCTTGCCAGACTGAAATAGAGACTGGTCAAAAATAGCCCCGTCAGGCCCGCAGGGAGAGGGCCTTGGGGAGGCCGCACGGTCTCTTGCCAGGAAGGAGACTGCAGAGACTGAAGACCGTGCTTAGCAAAATCTTTTGAACTCCAGAGCTGTGGTCTTCTGCCCTTTACCCCGCCCTCCAATCCGCTGCCACCCAAGGCCCTAACAATCCCCTACAACGTCTGACTTCTATAACTGAGTCTTGTCCTAATGATCCCGGACCATGACTCAGCACCGTGGCCCACCCTGAGTTGGGAGAGTGTGACTGGGCAAATGGGTAGCAGGGGCCGCCCGGCCCCAGGCAGCACCAACACATGGGCCTTTCCTAGTTCCAGCCTTCAGAGCCTCAGCTGTTTCCAGAACTGCCCTTTGCTTGACTTGGTTAAAGGAGTTCTTAATAGTAGAATGCTTGGGGAAGAGCCACTTAGGGTACCTTATTACCACCCAATCAAATTGGACTGCAACAAAAAACAAAACAAAAAACAACCCAAGGAATAGTTTTGAGTTATAGAGCTTGGGAGTTTTTCTTGTTTTTTGTTTAATTAATTAATTTACTGAATAGCTGATAGAAGCACACAATAAAATTTTCAACCCCTTTCAAAAGGAATATCAGGAATACCCAGTTAAAAATAATGCTCCCTTGCACGGTGGTCATCTGGTCCGCCTCTGGGGAGCTCCTGTGCCCGCCACCAGGAGCACACGCTTTTCTTGTGCAGAGATGCTGGTGTCTCACAGGTGCTGGTGTCGCACGGAGACAGTTCTGTCCTAGTTTCTCCCTTAGTCATGTATCTAAAACCTCACTCTTTTAGCATGCTGCAGAGCACTCCTCTGCTGGCATGAGCAGCATGGATGACCCATAATTTATTTAGCCATTCCACTATTCAGACACTTCAGTTGTTTCCAAACACAAAGAGAGCTGCAATTAATAACAGTCAAAATTGGGCAGGGAGTTGGGACTTTGGTTAGTCTTATTTCTTAAAAGTCACAAATAATAAGTAGGAGCATAGGTTTTGGGATCAGGGTCACTTAAATCAATAGCCATCATTATTAGTGCTTTTTGGCCCTTGAGAATAAATACGGCATCCTAACTATAACTGGCAAGATTATATGGCATCAGTTTGTGCACCACAAGGCCAGAAAGATGCGGCAGCATCGTGAAACCTCACTGTGAAGCTTGTCAGCGAGGCGCTCCCTGAATGGGCTCCGGGCCGGCACGACACCTGCAGGGCTCATGAAAAACCTGAGGCAGATGCTGCAGGACCGCCCTCCCTTCAGGCAGGAGCCCAGCCTCTGTGAGAGCAGCTGGATTGTTAGGAGGGGATTTTACCAATTGCATAGGTTTTGGGCAGGATCCAGCTGAAATAATTAAACCCAACACCTTAGGACAGGGCCAGACACAGTAAATGCTTAAGAGGTGGCGGTAAATGCGGTGCCTCAAAATGACACCCTCATTATTCCAGCCCTCCCTTCAGTGCCCACACACTGGGAGCAAACACCCACAGGCAGCCCTCTCGCCGCCGCGCCTGCAGGAACATTTTACCAGTAAGTCAAGGAAAAGCCGGGAAAGCCAGGCAGCACCGCATGCAGCCTTCTCGGGAGGTGGCAGTAATGTGATCCCAGCGCAGTTTTAGAGGGCGGTATAAATAGCCCCTTATTAACAGGAGCCCGGCCCAGGGACCCTGGCGGAGGCCCTCCTGGTGGGCTTTCCTCTGAGCTGTGGGCGGGGAAGCCGTGGGGCCCGCAGCAGCTGCACAAATGTCCTCCTGGCCCCCAGGGACCTCCAGCAGGCTGGCTTCAACCAGGCCGAGGTGTTCTGTGGTCCCGGCCTCCAAAATAAAACCGCTGCTAAGACTCCACCGCCTGCAGCACCAGCCATGGTTCCCCTCCCCAAGGTTGCCATTGGAGGGCTCGAAGGGCTAGAGGAGCTGACAGCTCCTGGGAAACCGAGCCAGTCCACTTAGAAGCAGCTGATTTTCTTCTTCAGTTCTCTCCCCCACCCCTCACTCCCGTCAGCCTCCTTCTGTCTCCACCAGGCTTTATACCTACGTGGGAAGTTACACTGCTCTGGGCACTGGGGAATTTGTCTCACCCACCCCAGGGTGATGCCAGGGACGGAGGTGGTACCAGTTCAAACCTCAAGGGTTTGTTTTTAACAATGAGTCCAGCTCCGGTGGCTATGGGATTAGAAGGAAGCAGAATAGAAATAACTCTCAGTGAGTCCTTCCCACGTGCAAGGCCGTGGATGTCATGTCCAATTAGCAGCTGTGTCCACACTGCGGAAGGCGAAAGGAGACGCCGAGGCACTGGGTACCTTGTCCCGGGCACAGTCCGCTGAGGGACAGGACCAGGCCTCAACCCAGGTCTGTCTGCTCCCATGAAGGGTCCTACTGTATTGCATCCATACGATGCAGCCCTGCCTTTACAACTCCCACACGCGGGAAGGTGGTGCTGCCACAGAGGTGTCTGGAGAAAGTATGAGTGACCGTAAGGAGTGTAGTGCCCAGCACAGCGACCAGCACGGCCCACCTTCCCGAGTGTCAGCAGAGGCAGGGGAGGAGGCACAGCCCGGAGGGAGCACAGGAGGGGCGGTCTCACCCTGCCGCCTGCTTACAAATTCCTACAAATGCACTGGGACCTCAGGGAAGGGGAGAGCTACCTGCAGGGGAGGAGAGAGGCTGAACTTGGGAGGCCAGCGTGGGTGTGGAGGAGGCGGAGGAAATGCTTGGGCCTAGAATGAGCAGATGATGTAGAAAGATGCAATGATGCAAGCTGTCAAACACTGGATTTTCTGTCTGGAAAACCTTCAGCTGAATGCTGCAGGTTAGTGAGGGACATGGCAATTCACGGTAGGTGATGCCACAGTAGGGTTAACGGCAGAACATTTGGAATCAAATTGATTTGAGTTCAGCTCTCAGGTATGCCAACCATGTAACACTGCACAAGTGTACTTAGCTCCTCTGTAAAGTGAGGGAAATTGTTGAAAAGAAAATGATTTATATCATCATAGCGTCCGTGTGAGGATAGCATCACCAAAGATGTAGCTGGGTGCTGCCATGACTGCTGTATCTACAGACTGGTTCCAAACGCCCATGTGCAGGGCTGTATGTTTTCACCAAGTGCTCACCATGGTTATGTCTGGGTAAGAATTCTGGTGACTTTAATCAGTCTTCACATATTTCTATAGCTTCCACGTTTTCTGCAGTGGCTATGCATGATTTATGTGAAAGTGTCCTAAAGTCCCCGTGGAACTAAAATTCCTGGTAATCTTAACAGCCATTTTTAAAGCAGAATTCTTTACATTATAAAGAAGAAAAAGACTGCAGCTTGCTTTGGAGGACACTGCAAGAGGGGCAACCTGAGCTCCGGGGGCAGCATGCCCGACTCTGTCTGGAGACAGAAAAGGTAAGCCTCTGCTGTCCCCTCCTCTGCACTTTGTTTCCTGGGAGCTGTGGGAAGTACCAGCCCGGTGTGCTAACCCAGCTGGTCCGCAGGGCTTCCCACTAGGGAGGGGCCTCCCCTAGACCACATGTTCTGGGATTTCCAGGAAACCGTACCTACGGGCCTCTGACACCATCAATGACAGCCTAGGAGAAAGAGAGGGCTGCAGCGAGGGCGCTGGGGGGGGGCAGTACACCTGCCTCCCACAGCCTTACCACGATGCTCCTTCTCAAAAGCTCAGACCCCGACCCGGAGATGCTGCGCAGGAGGGGGTTTTCCCGAGGAGCCTCCATCCCTCCAGCCCCCGGGAGGTTTGGGGAAAACACTCACACTTCCTGTAGATTTGGCAAGTCCTCAAAACCTGCAGGGTCAATCTCGGAAAGTTTGTTGTAACTCAGGTTTCTGGTAAAGGGAGAGGAAAAGAAAGAAAGGGAAAAAAAAAAAAAAAAAAAAAGCTGAATCAAAATTTCAACAAACCCAAAATTCAGGAAAGTTTTACTCCACCCCGAACAAAATAATGATTGCCCTTATTGCACACATTATTTTAAATAACCTTACATACACTGATATTTATAGTTGTACCTCCTGCCACTTGCATCCATAAACAAGTCCCTGTGAAAATCTCAAATCATCTAAGCTTGGATAAACTAGAATGAATTTTAATCAATACCATTTAGTCACTTAGCAACATGAAAGATATTCTTTTAAAGTAAGCCAGCCTGCTGCCTACATTAGAATGTGCTGGTCTACATGCTTTGTACCCTATCAAGGCCAGGGCTGTTTTAAAGGGAGGGAGATCAACCAAAGGACTTGTATGCATGCATAAGACACCTGAGGGGTGAGAGCATGAGTGGGGGATGGGGGAGCAATTGGAGGATAAGGATGCATATGTAATAGCCTTAATCAATAAAGAAAAATTTAAAACGAAAAAAAAAACCCTACCTAAAAAAAAATAAAATAAAATAAAAATAAAGGGCGCATTTTAATCAATGTCTTACTAATGCATCAAACACCATCAAGCAACAGCAAAGAAAAAGATGGGGTGGAGGGCGCAGGCAATGTCTGGAGACAGTTTGAGTTCTCACAACTGCAAGGAAGGGAAGGCGGCTATGGCACTGAGGGTAGAAGCCAAGGATGTACTAACATCCTACAATGAACAGAACAGCCCTTAACAACAAACTATCCAGCCCTAAGTCAACAGTTATATTCCGAGGTTGAGAAATTCTGTCTGCACAACTTAAGAGTGAAAATCACTCACATGTCTAGTCAGAGCTGAAGGGACTCGAGAAAGTGAACATTGTAAGATGTAATCACAAAGCTATACTATCAACACGGTGCTCCTACTACCAGTGAATTAACATGGAAAGGGCCAAATCACACAGGAGAGAGGAGCCGCGGTCAAAATAAATTGTGGTTGGTGCTAACCAAAGGCATGAAAGCCACACATGTGTCCGGCCTTCTCGAAATGACGGCGCTGTCACAATTATTCAGAGTCACATCGCTCTCCCCTGCACTCTCAGCTGTACCCACAGAGGCAAGACACACAACAAGCTGGTATCTGTGAGCTCCTCAGATCACACCCTCACCCCAGAGTAGGTTAATTAATTAACTCAGAGTAGATTAATTAACCCACGGGAATGGAAGCCAGAGATGTGGTCCCACTGGGCCTTTCCTGCGCAGTGCACCTTGCCCCGGCCACAATGCATGCAGTCCTGAGGAAGCCAGCGAGGTCGACATTTTCATCTCGGCTATCAGTTAACTGGCATTACTGCCAACTAACAGTGCTACTGACCAGAGTTTAAAGTCTAGCTCGTAAGGGGCACAATGTCACAAAAGTGGTAACTACCTTTTAAACTTACACCAGTGTCATTCCAATCAATACTAGCCTAGAGCTGATAGCCATTTCGCTGCCAACCCAAGACATTCATCTAAATGAAAGTCAAACCACACGTGCAATAATGGCACATCTGTGTTTGGGGCATGGTCTGAATGAAAAGCAATTTGTCTAGATATTATGTTACTATAAAAAAATTGGTGGTGGTAATTTTTAAAACCACATAACAAAGTCAAGTGTGAGCTTGTCTGCACTTGGTTAGACTCAGAAAAGAAAATCCACAAATGGAGAGACTTCGCCCACATCAGAAAAAGGACCTCAGACTGAAACTGTCTTCTGTTTTCAGCACATTGTCATAAGGCATTGGGGGCGGGGGGGTGTAAAATATCGTGTCTGTGTCTAGAGATCTGTGAGTTTACAGGGACTGAAACAAGTTGACATTAGCACAGGTGATGGAAGGTGTTGAGCTGGAGGAGACATCAGAGAGAGACTCAGAAACCACAAAGGCAAGAGCGGGGGTGGGGGGGACACTTCAGACAAGCAATGAGGATGGCCACCCTGAGGTGTGGACTGAGGAACATGGCAGTGCCCATCTGCCTGCCCAAAGCCAGTGCAGACTAGATTCCTCCATTGTTAAGAGAAGCTCAAACTCTGAATTCTCACATGAAGTATTTTGAATTCTTTAAAAAAAAAGAAAGTAACCCTAGATGAACCAAACAAATATATCTGCAAACTACATCTGGCTTGAGGGCCACCGGTTTCCAAGCTCTCACCTAGCCCACAGCTCTTGAGGCTATCGGGTTCAAAACGAATGGCTTATTTCTGGCTTGTATGTGTAGCCAGAGGGAGTGGGGTGGGGAGGAGCTGGGTCACAGGAATTGTGTCTCGGCAATCCACTAGCAGCCTCACTTTCCACTATCTGGAGTGAAGTCACTAAGGCTACGCGAAAAGGGGTCTTCCATAGCTGGTCTTATCACAAAGCCAAACAGCATCCGGCCCGAGCCCTACGAGCCAGTAAGCCCTGAGGAAGATGAACAGATTTGTCTGTGGAGCTTAAGTTCTCCCTGGGTCAGCCTGGAAGTGACGCCTTCGACTCTCGATGCAGTGGGAAAGTTGCGCACCAGCCAACGGACTGGCTCTAACGGGGATCCTCTGGGAGGCCCGCAGGGACTGCAGCGGCGACAGCTAATGCAGCGCAGGCCCGGGGCGGCTTCCACTTCTGAGCCTGAGCTTTCAGTCTGAGGAGGGACTAGTCCTGCCACTTGGACAAACTGTTGGTCAACAAGGACACGGGGGAATATTTACTGTACTAGGAGGCCCGATGCACAAAATTCATGCAAAAATAGGCCTTCCTTCCCCCAGCTGCCAGAGCTGGCTTCCCTCCCTCCGGCACCCGGGACCCAGGCTTCCCTCGCAGCCCCAGCTTCATCTGGAAGGATGTCCAGTCTAAGGAGTATATACACTTTTGTTATTATAGATTCCCCCTTATGATTATAATCTGAAATAAAATCCTCAGAGGCATTTTCTTGTTTACTCATTCCAGGGAGACAAACTGCCAGCATAATGTTGTTTTATTGTGGGAAAATACAGTAACATAAAATGCACCATCTTAACCATTTGTAAGTGTACGGTTCAATGCACATTCACACTGTTGTGCAAGCATCAGCATCAGCCATCCCTAGAACTTTGTCATCTTGTCCCTGAAATTTAGTACCTCTTAGCCCCGAACTCCCCATCCTCCCCTATGCCCCACCTGGCCTGGCAACCTCCATTCGACTGACTCTGAAATGTGACGACTCTGGGTACTTCCTGAAAGTGAAACCTACAGTGTCTGTCCTTTCCTTTCTGGCTTATTCACTTCACAGGATATCCTCTAGGTGTATCCATGTAGTAGCATATGTGAGAATTTCTTTCCTTTTCAGGGCTGAATAATACTCGTGTGTGTGTGTGTGTGTGTGTGTGTGTGTGTGTGTGTGTATACAGGTACACACACATTTTATCATTTCAATAGTGGATGAGCATTTGGGTTGTTTCCATCTTTTGGCTATTGTAAATAATGTTATCAACAATGGCTTACTTTTTTTTTTCAGAACCATTTTTAAATAAAGTTTTCTTAACCCTTTGGCTACTATGCTTACTGACACTCATTTTTCAGTGATTAATGAACTATATTTATTCAGCCCAAGAACTGTACAGAGAGGGATGTGAATGCTCATCTTGGTTCTCAAGAACAAAGAGTTAATCAGTGAAAACCCTTTAATAAGGACTTTCCTTCAGGTGGCAGCTGTCATGCACACAAATATAAAGACCTCACTTATTTCTACAAACACGAGCAACCCTCACCCAGCTGGACATCTGAATGTGCCTGAAGTTGAAGGTTTCAGATTCTCCTGTCAAAACAAGTCATCTGTCAGCAGGACAGATGCTGTCAAAAGCATTTCTGCACCTTCAGTAGCAAGAGGAGCGGAAAGAAACCTCGGGGAATTTAGTTACTGCCAATTGCAGCTTTCATTAAACATTTTGTCAGCCACTGTCATAACACAAATTGTCCCTGTTCTTGTAAAAAGGGTGCACAAGCCTTTAAACAATTGAGCCCAGCCGAGGATAGTCTTCCTGCTAATCTGCTGAAAGATGACCGCTGGCCCACCCTCTGCAGCTCACGCAAGAGGCACCTCTGGCGGGAACAGTTCAAGTTTTATCCAGGTTTTTTCTGACTGAAAAGCAAACTGTTTACAGTGCATGCCACCATCGGCCTGCTGAGCATTTTCCCTAACAAATCCCCCTACCTGAACTCACCCAACTAGAAAAGCGAAGGCTTCTAGTAGCTGAGAAACACACACATACCCCGCCCCCCATTACGCAACCCTGTACTGTCCAACTCAGCAGCCACTAGCCCCGGGCCAACAATGTTACTATTTGAACGAATTAAGGATTCAGTTCCTCAGTCCCGCTGGTGCGAGCCACATGTGAGCCACACTACACTCTGGAGACAGAGGCTTCCACCATCACTGACATGTCCGCCTCGCTGTGCTGAATCTGAGTCACGGATGGGCACCAATACCTCTAAATCATGGAATCCACGAATACTTAGAGTGAAATGGCACCTAGATGAAAAACGTGAATTTTAACAATGAATTTGAATTTCCCAATAACTCAAGACCTTTGTTTAAAATGTGGAGGAGGATAGATGGATGTTAGCCCACGTCTTTAGGCACACACAGTTCTTCAACATCCCAGAGAGGAACGGTGTGGGATACTCGGTTCCACCAGGAAGACACTCTTGAAACAAAGGCCCCTGAATAACTCTGGAGGCTTCTTCAGTATTTGCAGAATCTGACCAGCACCTTCCTACACCCAGAACCACTGAAGAAACTGGCTGGCGAGGATAATTAATTGGCTCCTGGGATGCCGAGGGATGGAAGGTTCCGTCTGTGCGGAGTGGGTCTATCTGTGCGTGGGTCCAGTGAGGGAGGGGCCCGCATCCCTGGACAACATAACTCGCCCTGTCCTCACGCAGGCACTGCTCACAGATCACTGAGTGCAGACAACCTCTCTGGGGAAGCGCAGC